TGATCCAACTGATCCAAGGCAAGAATGACTACGCGATACTCATTACAATCAGGGCAGTGTCATGTCATCGTCACCAGCTTGAATGATGGATTTTCTATAATGATTTTTCTCCACGGTCAATGACAATACTTTACAGTAATATTAAGTCAAATGTCAAGTTGACATTCTAGTAATCAGAATCTGCATACGACGAAGGAGGGCTTGTCACCGACAGAATGACAGATTTTGATGTGCTTTCGATATGTTTCAGGTGAATCATACATAATTGAAAAAGTTTCATGGTCCGATTTGCCCCCAAATTCATAAATTGAATTAATACTTTTACATTTATTTCATCTTAGGATAGTAATTTTTCATTCTTATCACTACACACATATGCATTTATGTATACATATACCGAGTTATACGTTTGTACATATATAACCGGTCACAAAACTCAATCACAAAATCCGCCAAAAATCGTATGTGCCGATACCACCTGATAGAATACAAACTGTTTTCTTCAAAGATGTTTCTGGGGCTAATTATGGGTTGCACCAAAATTCAAGAGGGCAATTTGTAAAAATTAAAATCATCAAAGATTCGATGCAGATGGCGAATTCCGAATCCTTCTCACAGATCCCTCTCGCAACCATTTCATCGTATACAACTACTTTTACCCTTTATTACTTACTTCTGGAATGCATAATGGCCACGGGTAATAAAGGAATTCAGAAATCCCACTCCCGCTGATTAGCAATTGCAATCACGTATTATCTACTAGCTGGCCATGAATATTTAAAAAATGTTTTGGCACCGACTCCCACTTTGCAACAAGTCGTCTTACCCGTACCACGTACAGTATAAAATCTTTTACCATTTTAATGTCGAAATCTCATGGGAAATTTATGTCCCTCATACCACACAACAGCAAATAACGTATGCATTCGTGCACAAAATATTCGCTCGGTGTTTGTGCATGCCACCCGACCCGTCCAAGTTATGGAAGTCTATGCATGCAAGCTGGGCTAATCCAACCCAGCAAAGCAAGTAAGTAGCTTATATAATAAAACGAATGTCCAATATGCAATGGTCAAAGAAGACGCTATAGGACGGTCGAGGTTTGGCACCTGTAGTATTGGGAAAATAATTCGCTAAGGGGATGATTGTCAGTAGGTTGACATACTCATTTCCTATTTCTTCACTACAACAACGGCAAGACCAGTTCTTCTTCAGGTTGTAAAAGCTTCAATAATTTGATTAAGGGTTGAATTAAAGACCAAATCTCAAGCTGCATACCCTGCTGGCTTGGGTCAGTTATATCCAAGTACCTACCTGTGTATCCTACTTTGTGCTATACACAGCTTGGCTTATACAATACTGCGCATCTAAATGCATGTGTGGCTAGAGTTATCATCGATGGAAAGGTTTGATGCAATAATAATGAGAGGTTTAGTGGAAGGTTTTCCTCTCGTCCATCCCAAGTAGGTTTCTTGTCCTGTCTGTCTCATCCTTTCTTAATGTCCGAACCAGCTTGTTCAGATCTCCGTTGTAGAAGCTGCATAGCAGACGCAGTAATGCTGAACGACGATTGAATACCAATGAAAAATTGGGATTAAATCTGTAGGAACAGGTTAAGTTCATGATTACGTGAGCAAGTCGTTTGTGTTTGTACCAAAATGTGACCGAATACATTTCACTGCCACGCAATCATCATCTGCATACCAGAAGAGATCTCTGGACAACAGCAAGATGAAAATATTTTAAAACATCATTTCTAATTTTATGTTGCCAGCAGGTTTAGCTCAAGCCATTCTCAGTGACTAAATAAATAATTGAAGGTTGACTGCGTAAATTCTAACTTGTGAGATGTGGAACTACATATGCAAATTTTCCTCGGTAAACAAAGTATATAAATATACTTTCTCACTATGCATGTAAATACGCCAAGTGTCAGTGGTAGAGATCATTTTGTTCAGTTAGTTGCCTAAATGTGTGAGCTCACTTTCCTTTATTTCCAGTTGAGCATAAATAAGTTTCATTCATGATCATTATAAAAAAGTGTGGGCAGTAATATTTTATGTAAATGATCTGACGCTGCAGATAAACTATGATTCGTAGCTCACATCTTCAGTCACTCTCGCTTCCAACTAATTGTGCATCACGACGACAAAGTTTCTAACCGCCTGAATGTCATGAAACATGTAATTGTACGCTGTGTTTATTTAAAATCGAAAGTAATTACTTTACAGTGATTTTAGCTGCAACTTTTGGCAAACGCAAAATTCTACAGCGGTTTTCTAGTTGATTAAACCTCAGTAGTTTATACATGTGCAAATATAATTCACCCGCCCACATGCGATGATAATCAAATCAAACATGCACAGAGTAACATTTATTCATAGTTAAATCTTCGTGATTATAGTTACTTTAAGCGAACGTTCTGTCCGTCCGTCGGCGGTCGGTGGGCAAAAAAACTCCCACACGAATCAAGAGATCGACAACCAACTCCCGAAGCAAAGTTGAGTTCATTACTAGACCCTGGAGACCTTCAAGGTCACAGGTCACCCCATATTGAGTATGAGGCAACCCCCAGAGTATGATATTGTTGGAATGGCAATAAAATTGACAACGTATGTGGTGAGGTCAAAGGTTAGATTCTGAATCAAGATAATTTAAATAAATTTTTAAAGTTGTTTAGATAATTTTGTAATTCAAATTAGATTTTCGATATGTCCTACGTTCGACGGGTAGCATCGTCGCTGCTTTCTGACATATGTTGACCAGCGTTTATTATGTACCTATTAACGCAAACAGATAAGTAAAATCCCGGTGCGCAATAAGACCGAGGATGTCACACTATTGTGCATATGTACGTGCTAATTTCAACCATGCGTCTGAAAACAATGTATCTCGAGACTCCAGCAGGATGTTACAATAAGATGTCAAATTCTTTCCTTTGAAGATCCAAGGACTCGCACATTATGTTCTACGCTGAAGCCTATGTACGTACTAGAGACCACAAACTTTGCTAATTTAATTATGTGTAGCCTGAGGGTGTGGACAGAGTAATATTCAGACATCACCCATATACTTATGAAGGAAGATGAAGTTGTCTTTGAAACAACCAAAAAATATGCCATCAATTCCTAGGTCTACGATTTTGGCTACAATGTCAGCAAAAAGTAATGTGAGTTGCTTAATTGCTTATCGAGTATTCAAAGTGTCACATTAAATTACATGTAATAACCAACCAGCCACGAGCTGTTGATGGTATTGAAGAAAAAACAGAAAGGCAAAGTAATTAGATCTCTCCGCAGTATTTTTTAATCTATCTTGAGTATAAATTAAACTCAATATGTTTTCATTGAGAATATTTTTTTCCATATACGGACCCACGTTGCTAATACTAATGTACATAATAAATATGAATACGATTATCATTATGTATGTCAAGATATGCTGCTTGTGATAACTCCACACCTCATAATTTCATGAAGGTTAACATTAAAGTAGGTGTCACACGAGGAGGAGTATTAGCAGGAAAATAATCTTATTAGCTGAGGAGTACATTGTTGCAAAGCCGCCGTAATGATACAAGCCGTCAATGAATGCAATTCTGGATTGAACAAACAAGTGCATCATCTTGTGTATCATGTTTTGTAGTAAGTATGGCACATTTGGAATAATGAGACGTGCGAAAAGAGATTTGAAACGGTCTGGTTGGTGTTTTGTTAAGAATGCATATACGTTGAAAAAATCTCATAACTAAAAGACAGAGACGACGGTTGCGTCTCCTTGTGTGCCGAGAGATTTTTTGCTAATGAGGGGGGGCGGGGCGAAGAGAGCAGCTGATTTTCATGTAAACAATGCAGGCAGTTGCATGTAAAAAGTTGCTTTGGGTTTTGAGAGTGACCGTTCCCACTCTCCAAACGGGGCATCGCGAACCAGAAAAGGAGAAAAATTTCGACTAAAACTTCTAATTTGCAGCTAATACAAAATGGATTGATTTCGTTTTGGTGGCAATAAATTCCCAAGTTTGTGCTTTACAATTGCCATGTTGCATAAATTCCATAATAAATCTCAGAGAAAAGTATTGAACTGAAACATTGACTCATATCATGTTTCAGTCCAATACTTTTCACCGAGATTTATTATGGAATTTATGCTACATGGCAATTGTAAAGCACAAACTTGGGAATTTATTGCCACCAAAACGAAATCAATCCATTTTGTATTAGCTGCAAATTAGAAGTCTTAGTGACAAAAATCATTTACATTACTGGTAAGTGGCGAGGAGAAAAAGTCAACTCGCTCACTAGGATGCCCAGACTGTTCCCTAACTCAAACTTTAATGTTATAAAGCGTGGTTGCTCCACTGAATGTGCCTAGAAGTTTTGGAAGCAGGTAGCTTTGTCAAGTTTCTTTTGTGTATTTTCACTGAATTTATGCACACATAAATCAACGACGTGCTTGTGGCAAATCTCATTCAGAACATTTTTAATCTTACATTTGAAGTAAACTTGACTGACAGAATTCGAACAAAATAACAAGATTGAAGTTGGAGAGAAACTTGAGTAAAACATTAATGAAAATAACAACGTTTTAGGTTTTGCCCATCATATTGAAAATTCTCATCATTTGTTTGCTGTCATATTGTGATGTAAGTATATTAAATATGACAAGAAGCGAAAAAAACGCGAAGAGACTCGTGTAAACAATAAATTATTTAGAAACTTTTGTCAATTTTTTTAGACATATGTACCCCTTTTGAATGGATGCATACATGTACTTATGTAGCTGTGTGCGGTGTTTAGATGATTGCAATTTTATTTGTTAGTGATATGCATACTTATGAAACAGTGAAAACCCTGCATTTCAACGTAAAAACTATTATTTTCGACTAATCTTTACGTGTGGATAAGTATGTTTAAATGCCTCACATGTATTTCTGCCCACGTTTGAGTGTTTTTGTAAAAATCATAGAAAATATTTGTATATAAATAGGTCATTTGACTTACTTTTTGCCTTCCTTTTCTTCATCTTTGTGTACACGAGCCAAATAATTCCCATAAGGATTAAAGTGGCCACAAAAGTGCCAATCACGGCTCCGGTGATGTCGCCGGCATTAAAGCAGCTTTCCATGTTGAATGCCGAGTTTAATTCTCAGTGAAAGACGAGGACGACGTGCAACCAATTATCCTTGCTGCAGTTGGCATGCAAAAGTTGAAATTTACTTTCACGAGATTATATTGTTTCCCATTCATTAGCTACGAGTTAGGCAGGCAGAAGAGCTGGGTCCATAATAATGGCGCATCAATTGCTTTATTCAGAGGACAGGCGTTTATCCCTTTGAAGCAGTTAGTAAATCGACGAGCTATAATACGAATGTTTTGCGTATTGTTTACTCCGCTCTGGTATTTTTCTGCATCATCTTTGTTCTTCAGAAAAGGGCACCGTTCATGAAAACAAGTTTTATTTTGCGTCTTTACATTCGGATCCGCTTATTCAGGTTTGATTTTATATTCACTCACATTTGCATTCACGTTGATTTTTTTCTCTCCTTCCCTTTTACACTGTAGCTCTTTCCCTATGACGGCCAAGCTCCATTAAACTTTAAATGACCAATGTGTCGTCCACTCTTTTTAGTCAAGTAAGCAGCAGCAGCAGCACAATGAGATTCCTAATGTTTGAGACTTGGAACAAAATAAATGATAAATCACTTCTGCTCGGCTCAAGAATTCAAGGTGTGTCCCACTTTGGCTTTTGGATTCAAGGTGTGCAATTGCAATTCCTCATCTTCTGTTTCCTCTCTAAGGATTAGTTCATCTCTTACTCGACACACTCGACCACTTGTGATTATTATGAGTGGCTGAGTGAGTGAGTGAGTGATATGAATATCGAATGTCGGTCTTCGGAGGGCAACAATATTCTAATGACATGAACCAAGCTGATTGGTTTCCATTGTCTTTAGAGGCCCAGTAAATTGGACCCTTCTACGATGTGTACATACGTGGAGGCGAACTGCAGGATAAATTGAGATTCTATTTCGGTTTTGTGACTTGAGGGCTTGGCTGGCTGGCTGTTTTGTCTGGGATGCGGATGATGAGTTGGGATTTCGAGAATCGAGGAGAACACACAAGGATGGAGGATCTTAAATGTCTCGTATTTTCGACGTATAGTTCATTTGGACAAGCCAATGGTCAATGAGCTACTTGTGATGATTTTTACTTCAGCCAGTCCTTCATTTACCGTCAATTCCTTCCTCGAGGTAGGAGACGGAGAGGGACAAAAAAATCCAATTCAATCTGTTCTACTTGGGAATGGCATGTCTTGCAAATGTGTTCAAAATTCCATTCACGAGCGCTTCTCCTGTCCTGCACCCAACTAACGAGATGATTGCTTCCTTGCCAATTTTGATCAATATATGGCACAGTGAACAATTTTATACGACGACACAATATCCCGGGCGGATTTCAGGCCTCAGATTTCAACACCAACTTTGAGGATTTGTTGCCGTCATTTGTTGCTGTACAGTCCGTGGTAGGCGGTTGCAATTCGTAATGTTGAGGGATCAAAACACTACGGATTTGTATGTCCTTCTGATTAATTCCTTGAGGTGAAACTGGATTTTTTTTCGGCATGCAGCCTTCTGTAAAACAAAAATGAAACAAAATTTGATACCTGTGATATTAATTAGCATATTAATATAGTCAAACCCTATGCAGAGCAATTGCTATGTATTAATTGCTCTATTTGTGCATTATTGCTGCCAAGTGCTACATGGAATCAAATAGAATTGATGGGCATTCATGTTCATGAAACAATTCCCATGCTTTAATCATTCGCATTGTTTCACTGCATGAAAACTTCCTGGTACATTGCGTTACAATGGTTTGGATTATTATTGCTGGTTAACATTTACGTAAAACAAGATGCATTCGATCTGCACCTTAAAAAAGACTTTTAGCCGACCAAAGTCATGCATAATTAGAGTTGCACTTCCAGCTGTGATAAATATAAAAATTAGTTAACAAGTATTTCGTGGTGAAGGTTGAGAATGAGAGAATGACTGGACAACTAATTCCCTAAATATTTCATGTACGTAGTTTTGATGAGCCCAGAGTAAAATAAGTACTTAATGGGTGACATACATATGTAAGACAACATAATTTTGCAGCTTTAACGTGCCTTGCCTCCAGAATTTCAGTTTCACCCAGCAAGAAACTTGAGTTTATTTATGTGATATATGCAACAGTGTGCAGATGACATTCTTGAGAGACAATCCAGAAAGAACTTCAACAGGGAACTTGTTTATCATTTATTTTGCGAAACAACACTCATGTAACCTTCATGAAAATGACATCATAAGTCGTATTTTTTTACACAGAAACAAAGAAGCTTCTCATATATCCCGTATGCAGCTATATAGTGACTGACTAAGAGTATTCACTACTTATAAATAAAATAAACATTATCACTTCAAACCTGCATCCTCAGTGCATAATAAGGCATCAACATCTTTTACACGCACAAGACGGCAATTGAGAAGAACATTTAATAAGTGTGGAATAATAAAGGTCTCTATAATTTACAACGCTAATCAGCCAAATAACTCATTCACGATCGAGACGAGAAGCGACACGGCGATTCCAAAAAATTAAATTCAAGGTGAATTTATGAATTTGAGCACAAACCTTCGTCAGGGAAGCAAGCAAGGCACCCACATTCTCCAAACTGCTAAAAGGCACATTTACTAAAAGATGCCGTTCCTTATCTTATGTGTCGTGACTAATTGCTTTGATTTGGATGATGCTTGATGCACACTTTATTTATTTATGACCAGATAATATTTAAATATTCAGTTATCTCACATACGAACATTTACTTGACCAAAGTCAAAGCTCAGAATATAATTATTTACATATTTGGAAATCATCCATTTTATTAAATTTGCATAAGGGTATTATTATCAATGCAACTATTACAATGTCATCGGTCGTAATTTCATTAGATGCGTATAACGAACCTCCTTCAATAAAGAAAGGACAAGTGTAATCACAGTAATCCAAATCAACAATACTTATTATCGCTTATTAATCCTTATACAACAACAAGTTGCAATATTCGTGCAATTTTTTAACACTGAAATTGCAAAGTCCTTACTGTACATGGATAGTAATGAGAATAAAATGTAACAAAAATGCAGGTAAAGAACGAAGGAAGATTTTGTTCGTTTTTAGTTTTATTATGGAGGAAGGAGGCGTTAAATGTGTAAGGCTGTTGTTTTTGCATGTCTGTGGTTTTACATGAACCAACCGACTGTAACACATTTGAGGTTTGCATGGTCTCTTCGTATTGTTTCACACATCGTACCAAACATGAATTGGAACATGTGCAGTAATATAACGATGACCTCTTCTTTGCAAAAACACATTTTTGCTCAAATTGTTTTCTTACACAATGCAGTGCATATGTGCATCCAATCTTCAATGAGCAAAAAATTTATTTAGAAAATATTTCAAATTCTAATACAACAGCCACTTGAGTGACGTTACTAAATGATTTTTCGCATTGCCCATTTATTAGTAGAATGAACATACATAGATGTTCAAGCTTCTTATATAAATCATTTAATTAGTACGCACTTTAAGTAATCTTAGCTTTTCGATTTTGAATTTAGCTAAGACCCGAACGACACGATTGATCACATGCATAAGGTATTCATCCTAAAAAGTACTACTCCTTGAAAATACAAATAACTGCAACGTAACCAATTTGTAGATTTCGTCATAAAACTCAAAGCTGGTGAATATTCATTTTTAGCTCATGTCTCATCAACAGCAACAAAACTTATTAAACGGTACCTTGAAGATGAAGCCGATGAAGAAAGGATACCTACGAAATTTTTATCACTTCTTTCCCCCTGCCTGCGGTTTCATCCCCTCCGCATATCTGCGCTACTATTTACTGCTGGCTCTTTCATTCAATGAGTGAACACAGGTGTCAAATAATAAGAAAGGAAAGATTACACGATACAAGTATTCATCCATAAGAATATTAAGAATGGACGGGGTGCAAAACTATTGCTGTGTTCGTAATGATATAAATAAACCCACATTTAACTTCCTTTAGCACCCATTCAACCACCATCGTGTGTGACGTTTCAAAGTATTAAAAGTGAGATGATAAATGATCAAAGCTATTAATTCTTTGGAGTCTGCGAAGAGGTTATTGTCTTCGCAGGAGAGAAATATACGTACATGCTCATCCTCCGTATAAGCAAGTGATATTGTGTTTAAGAAGCAATATTACTTTTGTATATTTGCCACCCCAATCACGACTCATTCATAGACCATCCTCCCCCATAATGCTATTATGCATGCATGAACCGTTCGGATGTACTGCACAATTTTATAGATTTAATTAAACACAACTATTTAGCAATTTAAAGGTTTTATCAACAAAGAAAATAATATTGAAGTATTACTCGTATTTCAGTTTGCCTATAGCCAGCGGTGGTCGGAGTAATACATATGTATGCAAATGGTGTGCAGGGATGTTGAGTTTGCGAATCACATCCGTAACAAAGGCTTGCAATTAAATTCTTGTAAATTAATGAATTTAATTGCAATGATTTATGCGAGTAAATGCACTTGGGTATTCGCGTACATGGAATTTACTGCACATATGTACATACACACATACTTTAGCTTGGAAGGATAGTCAGTGCTTTCTTTATTTGCATCTCCCAATTATACATAAATAGGCTTCATGGGTTTTCCAATCTGCCGAAAGTATACGTACTGGACTGACGAACAATAAAGCAATAATTACTATCGGCACAAATGTTAGTCGAGATTTCATTTTACAAAAAAGCTCAACATTGAAATAATCAAACTCAATGAGGGCTTTGACTCCTAACTCGTAGATTAAACCAGATCATTTGGACCCCAACTATTGCAATAATTATTATTCGTTTGATACATACATTGAATGCTGAGCGGAGCGTATACTCTCTGCAAATTGCAAACATTCCAGTTTGAATTGCATCCTCCGATTGAAATGTATTGGGTGGGGTTGATCCATTATTCGTGAAAATCAGTTCTGAGGATGTTGTTGAATTGTTGTACAAGTAAATCTTGTCTGAGAATAAACCTGTTTCTAAATTATACTGAATTTTGAAATCATCATCGTCGTATCTGAATCTGATTTACTGGACAAGAATCAAAAGCCAAATCAAACAGCAACCAACCACTTATTATTGTGCATTTGTACATACGCAGAAGGAAGGAGTTAATGAATTGAATCCTACAAAGACAGATGCAATAGATCCGTTTCATGTTTATTTGAGTTTGTTGGTGTAATGTTTCGATTTTATGGCTGCATTTATTCTGAATCATATGTATTAAAACAATTCTGCACTTGTAGATTTGATTTGACGTGTAATGAGAGAGCAACAGCAATAACAAGTGGATGTGTAATATTATTATTGGGTAACTTTTGCGTGAAAAGTATTCACAAGTGCATGTCGTCGCTCGCTGCTGCTGGTCCCCGATTTAACATCCATCCAATCAACAGTGAACAGACACAACTTTTTTATGCGCAAACCACTGACAATAATTGTATTGTAGAATTGTATAGGCGCTGACGCTTGCTGACTGTTGAAAGTCATCAACAGTACCGGATGCAGGGATAACCAAAGTTGGACTGGAAACGGAAGTAATCAGTTCTCCTGATACCTGTTGTATCTCAGAGCAGAACTATAACGCAACACATTCGACATAGCGTAGAAGCATTTGTGGGGCACATGTAGTGGAGACCTATTGTTTGGGTTGTATTCCCTTTCCACCAGTGGAGGACCCAATTTTACTGTTGTATGCAATGAATTGTCGCCGTGTCATACACGACGAATATGTACAGATACTTGTGTATATATTTAGAAGGAATCTTGCCGTACACTATTTGCTGTTATCAAAAACGTTTACATTTTAAGTTTTTCCGGACATAAAATGTAAAAAAAGAAGTCAAACAAAAAACTTTGTGTTTGAGTTTAGGCCTTTAAATTATTTAATACAACGAGCTACGTACGTACAATAGCAGGAGAATAGAGGCAACAAATGGAAAAGTCCATGAGAACTGTCAATAATTGATAGTTTAAGTGAAGTAGAGAACATGTCCATCATGTCAAGTTCAGGTTGTCTTTTGAGATTGATCAGAATTCTGCTTTGTGACGGATTAGTCACACACTTGATACACATACCTATGTACATGTGTAGAGATGCATAATAAGTGAGTGCATAATAGGCTGGGAAACAGGAAACAGGGGATTTTATTTTAAGGGGACAGATAGACAGCATTTCCATTTTATGTATTTAGCTGAAACCAACATATTCCATTCCACGGCATCTCAATGATTCTTGTAGATTCTGTATTGAAATGTCTCAAATATGATTTGCAAGCGATATGTGAGTGCGTGGCACGACGCTTTTATATCTGCAAAGTGAACATTTCGTAGCTTTGTAAGCTTTCTTAAAAACCTTTTGTGGTGGATTTTATGTATTAGGCCGCTCTTTGTTTTCAATATTCTAGGATATCGATAAAAGATTTATTGAGTGATTAATAATGAATTCTCGTTATGTTCTTTACACCCTGCTTGTTAAGAACTGTTAAATGATACAAAAATCTCATACAAACCAAGCTAAAGATTCAAAGGTCATGCATGAGCATTAAGCAAAGATTTTAAACACATTCGATCCTCTAAAAAATATATGTCAAACTAAATCTCCACACAAATTTAGCACACCAATTATCAAACTTTCTGCTGAAGATATAAAGCCTCTAAAATATGTATCCCCTTTCTATATTACACCTTTCTTTATTGTCAATTTTTGATGTTTAGATTTGTGCAACAACTGTCTGGTATATTGTACATATTTATGTATATGATGGTGCATGTACACATACATATTTGTCCGACTAAAATTAGCATAGTTTAATAATATTTAAATAAAAATACGCCATAATGGATTCTGCATATTGCAATCATAACTGCAAAAAATGCAATCTGTATACGATGCAGATAGACATTCATTCATTCTCAATCAAACGGTTGCATAAAATGAAATTTACGTTCTTCCCCGACACCATACACATCATAACAAAGAATGTAAAAGAGCTAGTTTTTCCAAGTCTTGTTACCTAACCATATAGATTTTTGATACGCGATTCATTCATAGAAGTCGGGTAGTAAATCGTGGCCTTTTAATCGATCTGTCTCATCCGCACTTTGTTAACTTTTCGGCCCTCAACCGGTCCAACTACAGGTCAATAATTTTGTGCATTCCTTCCTACGCTCCTTACACACGTTACATCACATTCTCGGACGGAGGACTTGCATGCATCTTAATTATTGCAAATTGATCCCTATAATTTTTACGATGGACATTGTGTTGGTCACTCTCTCAAGACTTTGTAAATACGTACATATGTATGCAAATATGCATAAGAGTAAAGGTATGAATGAGACAAAGAAGAGAAACGAGATTCATTTACTTACGGGAATTTAACCGAACCAGCACCACTATCAGAGAACGCAATAATACGTACGTAATGGGACTTCTTCACCACAGACAGACGGTGCTACTGCTGGTTCTCAAAAGTCTCAAAAAATCTTGACAGAGTTCCAAAACCACTTCGCTCAGAAGAGTGAAACAATAATCAAGACTCAAAGTTCAGGTTTAAGTTCCGTTTAATGGCAAATTGTTGCAAACATAATTTTACTCAAACGCAAATTTATTGGTTCCACTCACTTCCGCGTGTAATTGATTTCAACTCTGATCTCTAGATTCGATTATTTGCGTGAAATCAATTCTCACACATCCACTTGTTGATAAACAAACCTCCACGAGATTATTTATTTATGCAACTCTTTTGGAGTTCACAGGCACGAGTCATACAAAAAGTATTTGAGGGTTCGGTGTTATGTACAAATTTTTAACTTTTAAAGCTTTTGCTTCGGCACGGCACAACAATGTTGCTGTCGGAAAGAAATACAAGCACATGCACAATGGATGAAAGTAAAAAGGTGGAAACAACACGGAGGTGCAAACTTTGGCGTTTTCAGACGCTCCTTTAGCTGGTTTGTGGGTACTCTTGGGTATGAAAGAGTGATTCTTATTCCTACCTGGCCAAACTCTCAGGTACAACTGTGATGAGCACGTAAACAAGGCTGCATTACCTGTTCTCATCTCGTCCTCCTCACCACCACGGTTTGATGAGGAGCAGCGTAAGGTGTTTTTTTAGATAGCTCCTCTTGCTCTCTGCTGCTATTCATTCCGACGATACGTACACAAATCTCTAACTACTTACCTGCCTGCCATCGTAAATGCTTACGAACATAGTAGCGAGACTGGCTGAACCCTTATTCTTTCTTTAGGCATCTTTAGAATGGAAAACAAAATCTCAAATCTCTGCTGTGTAGGTAGTTTAAAAAGCCACTCCAACGATGAATAAGTACCTTTTTACCTTTGTAAACAGGTGAACGTAAGTGACTGCTGGGGCTACGAGTCTTCAAAAGTTAAGCTTTTTAGCTGAGATAAATTCTTGGCTTTGTAAATCAAATTTAGTGACTGGAAGTCAACCAATGCATAAAGAAATATACAATGATATTATTATGGATGGTGTATCAATCATTTCCCATCTTTGCAGTTCATCTCCATGTCCAACTCTAATGCTTTCCCTCTCTCCAAACCAATGAATGCATACATTATACATATTATTATTATTTTATTATTATTATGCGCTTTTCCATTCCACCAGCAAAAAGTGAAAGATCAAAAGATTTGAAATTGAATATTCAATCGGCTCTGGCGAGTTAATAAAGCCTTTACTAAATATTTAGCATTTTGTTCTTCGGGGATCCCTTTGCGATACATCGTCGTATCTAATTTAATTTAGTTGGATGGATCTGTTCTAATTGCCCACTTTCAATTTTGGACGTTATTTTTTCATAAATATCTACAGTGTATAAATATTGTTGTTAGGCTTATAGATAGATATGTATAAATTCTTGCATGTGCAGTGCTTCATTGTCATTATTACTTATTTCATGTCGTGTCATGAGAATTTATGGACAAGGAAATCATCATTCTTTTATTATTAGATGAATCGCAAAGATAACTTGTTCATACAACTCGCGTATGCAGTGAATTCAAAGCGTAAAAAATGCTCACTTTGCATCTGAATTTGAATTTAAAAGGTGAAGATGTTGATGGAAGTGGCATTTAAATGTGTTTGGAAATACTGCGAGAAAACCTGTCCAAGAATCGGTGTTGTTGTACGAGGGACGTATATCAGAAGGTATACTGATGTACATACACCTTGTGAATCCTGACTTCCATGATACATCCATCCTTAGATGTTTGACTATGCATCTGCTTAATGCGTGAAAGAAATACGAGATGAAGGATACTGCAAGATATTGATTGTAATGGGATGAATGGTAGTTGCGATAAAGATTGGAAGATGTTTGATTGCATTCTAATTAATTAAAAACGTTATCGCATATTCTTGAAGTGAAACTGATGGTACGTTGTCTCGTTGTTGTCACAAAACGAAGGAGTGGCCATATCAAAAACAAGGAATAATAATGTGTCAATTTAAATTTATTTTTTATTGTTAGTATTTTTTGTATGTAACACCTATGAACCTGTATTGTTTCAGATATTGCATTTAAATTTCGGTAATAACAGCAAAGACAGATTTAGGAATTACTTGCTCATCATTCGTCATTACGAAAAATCTTTCCAGGGTCTCCCTTGCGTTTCTTGAGCATACTCTTCAATTTTTTTAAGTTTCCAGACAAGCTCCCCAGGATTGAGAAGTTCGTTACCCTTATTCTTGGCATCACTACAATCAAATGCCCCTTCTTCAAACAGGATTTGCAAAAGATATTCAAACTGATGGTGAGTTGACTCATAATGAGCCAAAGCTTGTTCCATTGGAGTAAATTCCAGTTTCGTAGATCGACCCGCCACGTTATCGAATGCTTGGGCATATTCCTTCATGGTTTTCATATCACTGTAAACTTCCACAAAATCTGGGAAGTTTGTGGGATCCTTGAATGCTTTCAGTGCAGCTTCTACTGCAAAATGACCAATGTCACCTTCTGCACACACAGCAACAGGGGTCTCCCCCTTGCCAACTAAAGTCCACACTTCAGCCGCTGTGTCCAATCCGAACCATTTTCCAAAGGATGATTCCATAATTAGTGAGCATAGGAGTGCAATGGTTTTGATCCCTTTAGCTTGTGCTTGCCGGAAGTGATCCTTTTTCGCTTCGAACACATCGTGCTGATAATTTTTGCAACGATCATAATGGTTCGTCCCAAATTCAGATGGAAAGTAAATTTTCACTTTAGATGCAGCAAGTGCGTCCAAAATGGCCAATTTGCTCTCCTTCGTTCCAGGCCCAGTGCCCAAAGTTGATACCACAATGTCTATGCCGGTGAAAGCTGCCACCAAAGTGGGAGTGGCTGTAAAATCCACAATCTGTACCTTTACTCCTTGATCTGCAAATCCTTTAGTGATATCGGATGACTTGGTTGATAAGACACGCAGTTCAGATAACTTGTTAGCATGCAAAGCCGTAATAAATCCAGCGGTGATAAATTTCCCAATGTAACCAGTCGCTCCGATTATTGCCAATTTAGGTTTAATTTCTTCCATGACTTGGTTTGATAGATGAGTTCTGTGTGGTGTTGCGGGTTCTGAAAATCATGAATATTTTACAGTATATAGTCAAATTGTCGGTGGATTAATTTTACTGATAGACTATGAAATTTTAAGTGGCTGTGTGCGATGATATTGTAACTTGTGCAAAACAATTTTACTGCTAAATGACAAAGCATATCCATATTGTGTGCATATCTAAAATATCAACTTATGTATATTTACCTGCTGTTGGATTTACTATTGCTATATGTTTTTATTTGACACAAATTATGCAGTACAAAGATCTACGTGCTACGTCTATTCACAACTCGTTTGGGGAATTTATTTATTATATGATCTTGTGGACAAAGAAGAGTACATTACGATTCCACTCGAGTAACGCGTACAAATAAACATGTACAAGAAAATTGAGGATGGTGACTTACAACTCAATTTAAATACAAAGTTATTCAGAAAATAGTGACAAATAGTATGAGAAATAATGGTCAAGTCTTGAAGGGCACGACAAGCTTCCTGGAATGTATGTACAGTCTTCTGTTCACAATAATCAAATTAATTTTGTGTGTGGTTTGTTTGTGGCTTATTATTATGAGACATTTTTCCTTAAGATAAAGTGCATGGTGACATTTCATAGGTTTTAGAGTTAGTTCATAGGTAGAATGTATCTAAATACAATGTATGTACATACATATGTGGTAATTGGATGCATATACAAATTGTCAACTCAACTTATACATATCCTCAAGTTGGCTTATTCGTGAAGTGAATTTTTATTATCATGAAAAGCGTTGCATAATGGTTTGTTAATGACAAAACTGCATCATTGTAGCTAAATTATAGATAATAAATTATTAGGAATCGGTCTATATGCGCATTCTCCAATGTAGAAGTCTTAATGTATTCAAGTCCTCTAACACATATACATATCCTCAAATGTGATCCTTTTTAAGGGATTTTCCATTAGACTAAACCTCTCCCTTCGCTCAACAAAGAAGTTGTGCCACAAAGCACTCCAGGGACGAAGATGATCCCTCGTTTTCTCTCCCTGAAACCTGGCCCATCATCCAATCAACCCTGCATGGCTCCGAGGAGTCACTTTTTCCTCCCTAATAAAAGTACACTTTTTTCCAACCCCTCAACTTCTTACGACGCTTATCAGCTTATTCTTTTTTCCTTCGAAAGGAGGAATGCTGTTGTTATTGTGATACTTTTACACTCATCCTTCTACGTCCAGCAGACTTGTACATACGCATTAAACTACTCTAAATTGACGTAAGAAATCAACCAACGTAATGCACTTACTTACTGCGACGTTCCTGTTTGTCCGGTCGTATAGGACCTTCTTCGGCGGAAATCTTAGGTTTCGCTACACAAAACTTTTTAATATTACCACCACAACCAGTTTCTCCTGTGATGATGTATTGATGTTCTTGTTCCCCCCGGATAATGTTGTTATACGCTTGGCAACGACGACGCCAACATTTATTTCATACCCACCTCTTTTCCTTTGATGAAAGTGAGCAGGGTCATATTTATATTCATATAATACTTATTACATCTTGCATATACAGTGAAGAAAGTTCTTTGTAGACAGGCACATTAAAATTTAACAGGCACATGCACCATGCCGAGAAACACTAGCTTTCTACATACATAAGTCTTTTAATTCATACTTTCAACTCCCTTGCTCCATCCTCCGACAAGAAGCGCATCTTTTTCAGCTTAGCATATTCTTGTTAGGCTGGTATTTATTCTAATAAATTTATGAGAACTGAAAAAAGTTTATTGTATTTAGTTTGAGTAGAAAATATGGACAAATATCTACCTGTTTATGTCCTGGAAAAAGGGATGAAATAACCACTGTAACAGCGACGCATAAACATCTTGGTTTATGCTTGTTTCATGTTTCATCTATTCGTAGAGGGTGATTCGCATGCATTTTATTCAGATAACAGGATCATTATAAGTACATAAAAACTATGATTCGTTACCTACCCCAATACAATTAACCGTCTCTGTCAAATGACAAACACCAAAGTAAGGCTTTATTGCTTTATACAGTTTTTAAGCAATTAGACAAATTTTGACCCTAATCATTCTTTCCTAAAGCCGACAAGCATCAGGGTTCTCACGGCTCCATGATCCCTCAAATTGTAAATAATAAGTAGTAATCCAAAAATGTTATATAATTGCTAATAAGCGTTATCCCGTTTTAGCCATGCATAGATGGGACACATTCCCAATTCCCATGCGTCCCATTTCATGTGTGAAAGTTTTTAATGTGTATTCTTTATTTGACGTTTAAGCTGCATACATTCTTTATCCTCACAATAATATTTTTTTATTCCAGATTTTGATTTTTTACCAATTTCTTCAGAATTTGACAACCATGGCCAAATCATGACTTGGCGTAAAGAGCGCAAAACCATCGGAGAAGGATCGAAATTTCTCAGTCAGTGTCACTCCCATAAATGTTTAAAAATTTTGTCTGTCATAGGATTAGCCACCGATTGTTCATTTTCATTCAATTGTGATGGAATGACAATAATGCAATCCATGACCATTCGAACCCACATAGAAATCTCTCTTCCTTCCTTCTTCCGATTTTTGTTGAATGAGAGAAAAAGTAAGCATCATCCTGATGGTTGACCAGACCGACAGGGACACCCCTGAAATTCAATGTTTCTTCTTCAACAACCCAATGACATTGTGAATAGGAATAACTATTAGTGTATTGTATTCATTAATTATTGGTTCGCCTGTGTTTAGCTAATCCTATATTGACAATTTGACATTGTTGATTTTACGATTGGTTCCATCTTTTTCTCCAACTTGTCCTCTTTTAATCTTATTCATTATTAGAATAAATTATCCAAAATTGTTTTCTTTATTTGGATGATTCAATTGTGACATGTGACATGACGAATAAATGTGTCAACCCAAATAATGTGTAAATTTTAACTCAAAATCTAATTACGATATATTTTGAGACGGACAAGTTGAGACTGCGCTACTCTTTGTAGCTCAAGTCCAGCGCAACCGCCGCTGCACCAAAACAACAAAATATTGAACAGTGCCTCGGGAAATTTGGAATTTTGACAAAATTGCATTCATCGAACTGAAATTGGGCCTTTGTCTTTTGAGTAGACGGACCACAAGGCGAACATTCATCCAGCTGGTCCAAGAACAAAAGTAAGTAAGTAAAACAATAACGAAAGTCCAATTGTTTCTGAAACGATTCATTTTTTAAATTGTTAGAAGGTTTATTTTTTGTTGTTAAATAATTAAAATAACTTTCCACTCCCAGTTAGGGGCTACGAAATAAAATGGAGGATGAAGACAGACGGTGTGTAAAACTAAGGGGTTTGCCGTGGACGGCGACCAAAGACGATATTAAAGAGTTTTTTAATGGTATTAATAAAATTTGACTACCAATTAATTACTTAATTCTTCAAGTAAATTCATCATATTGACTATTTTTTATTATAATGTTCCACAGACTGTAAGATACACAAAGGCGACGATGGTATTCACTTGGTCTCAAACTCTGCTGGTAGGGCGACAGGCGAAGCCTTTGTTGAAGGTAAGGGTCTAAGGTCGAAGGTAAGAAAATAACTTACCTTCGATTAAATAAATTGAATCCTAAACCTTAAATCACTACCTTCTTTCTTGAAGTCCCCCCAGACGATGACATTGATGTGTTTTTGCGGAAGGATAAAAAATCAATGGGTCCAAGGTACATATATGCATTATTATTTTTTCACCATTTTTGTATTTAAGTAATCAAAAGATGTTACGGAATTATATGTATATATTTGTAGATATATTGAAGTATTCAAAGTTAAACGAAGTGAAATGGAATGGGCGATTCGTCGCCCAAGTCGCTCTCAAGACAATATTTATCGGGATTCACGAGATAGTGACAGTGACGCGGATGAAGAATGTCAATGTTATGTCCGCCTCCGTGGCCTTCCTTACGATTGCTCTCACGACTCCATCATTGAATTTTTTAAAGGTAACTAATTTGAACTATCAAACCAATTCTATACTCAATTTAGATACGAAAACAGAAATTTTGGGTATCATTTTGATTGGGCCGCGGTGTGGGGAGGAGGAGGAGGACGATTTAGTAGTCCAATCGATCAATCGATTTATCAATTTATAACTTCATTCGTGTTGGTGTGGGTGGGTGATTTAGGTATGACGATTTCGAACGATGGGGGGATCCAATTAATGATGGACATGACAGGGAGGCCATCAGGAGAAGCCTATGTTAAGTTTTCATCGAAAGAAAATGCTGAAAAGGCGTTGGGTCAAGATCGGGAGTGTATCGGAGCGAGGTGCCAAATTTTCAAATTCAAATTATACTTTTTCTGGTCCTTAAACATATTATTAGCTAACTATTCGATATTAGTACATAATTATTACAAAATCGTCTCCATTCTTCTCCTAAAATCGTTCCATGCTTTACTTGCTATTTACTTTGTTTCACGCATTTCATAATTTACTAGTACCAAATTTCTTTTTAACCATTCATTCATTCCTATTGTGTTATATAAATACCCGAGTTATCTTATTACCTTTTTTCACATGCAATAATATGACAAGCTTCAATTTAAATTGAGTTTTTCTTCATAAGAATGGGAGGTGGAAGATTTGTTTTAAAGAAGGCTGAGAGGGATGGGCGGGCGGGCGGGCGAAGATGGGTGTGGACAAGAGCTTTGGGCCGGGATGGAGAAGATATATATCAGGGCGACCTATATCTTATATAATATAATAGAGTTCTTAATTTTGGGCCGATGAAGTTAGCTTGACAATTTACTTGTGTTTACAGATATATCGAAACATTCCGTGTTAGTCCAGGCGAGTTAAAAAATATGCGAAACAACGCGCTGACAAGACCGCATGGACGAGGATATGATCGACATCACCCTTACGATCGTGGAAGTCGATACTCGGGAGGTCGATTCGGTGGTGGTTCATCAAGCAGCCGATCGTCACGGTACATAAGCAAAGGTACACGTACATACATACATGCAAAGTGAAATAGCTTGGTGTGATTGTAAAGAAAATAAGCAGTGCTTAATATTTTGTTTATAGGGTTTGAAGAAGATAATTGGTATGGTAGTGGCGATCGCCACCACGATCGGGGGTGGGGAAGACCCCCGTTACCATTTCGTGGATATTCCAGAGGATCCGGGGGTAGCTCAATTTCTTCTTCTGAAAAGAACTGTGTTCTCATGAGGGGAGTGCCTTTCAAGGCGAATGAATATGACATTCGAAAGGTAATTTATATTTATTTAGGATTCTTAATTTATTATTTCAGATGTCTACTTTTGTATAATAAATGTGATTATTCGTTACAGTTCTTTGATCCTCTGCATCCAACGGCAGTAGATATCATATACGAGTCCTCAGGCCGTCCCAGTGGCACTGCAAAAGTTTTATTTGCCAATGGGGATGATGTCACTAGAGCCATGGGAAAGGTACAGAGCGTACAGACACATACACTAGAGCTCTATTCAAATTTGAGAGGAAGTTAACTATTTCTGTTGTTCATAGCACAAGGATCGTATGGAACATCGATACATTGAATTATTCCTGCACAATGCCTGAAATCCAGCTACTCTCTCGGACCTATTATAATATACGTACCCTATTCAGATTCCTAACCAGTTTTCTCTAAATGTATTTCAAATTATAGTCTGTCCATTTCTCAGTATAGTATCCGTCGATTTATCTCGTCTCGTTCAACAAAACAATTATGTATAAGGGTCTAGGTAAAATATACCATTGTTTTTATATATCTGTACTTATGCTGAATTCCACATTCAAATGTGTGGACTTGTATTATTAAACCTTGCATATATTAACCCCTAGTAAAAATAGGCCACAATGCAAGTACAATACAAAAGTTGGTAGCGGTATGTTTCGTTTTGTACTATGATTGGAAATGTTTCTACCCAAGCAACCTCAATGCGAATTTACTGCGAATTCCAATGCAAGTTTATGCAATTTTTGTGCATAAAAAGTTGTAATCATTAATTTGTACAAGATTCGTGCAAAATGTGTATCAATTTTTGTGCTACTAATAAATTAGCACAAGAAATCCACTAAACTATCACAACTTAATAAGTAGCAAATTATTACAAAGGAACAAGTGAATATTTAGTGCGTATTTGTTAGCACTAAATTTTCATGAGATTTCTTGCACCAAATTCATGCATAATTCGTACGTGGGAAATTGTACAAAATCAAAATGCAGTAAACAGGTGCCAGTATATTTACACGAAATTCGTACCGATTATTCTGTAATCATTTACTACTAAATTAGTAACATTTCTCTATTGGCGATTAAATAAACCCACCTCAAGTCAGTTATTCTTTTTGCCATGCCGTGACATCAACTCCATCATTTCTTCTCCATTTTTAATTTCCAACGAAAAAATTTATTTAGATAGATACTTAGGGTCGATCTTATGTCGGACAAAAGTTCGTATTCATCAAGTTTGAAGTCGACAAAGGGCCAAGATTGTGCCGTCTACGTGGATTTCAAAAGATTGGACGACTAATGGCGTGTTATATGCCGGAAAATACGGTAATTACATATATACATACATATTGTTGTTAGCTACTTTTGCATTAATATATATTCGGGTTATTTATGTAAATAAAATATACGTTTTGCATAATTTATAGATTCATACGTTGAGAACACATATGTATAAGGAATAAACCTATCGACTCATGTCGACAAACGGCCAGCCTAAATTATCAGCAGAAGAGCCTGAGGTGAATAAGGAAATATTGTCCAGGAATTCATTTTAATTTAGTCTTTCTCTATACTCCGTAAGTACGAATTCTGCAGATTAATTACGATAAATATTTGTGTATCCCAATTTGCAATTATCTTTTAATAAGTGAAGTATTTGGAGATAACATTATTGTAGAAATACAGTAGATGAATTTGTAATAAATAAATAATAATTGAACTATGAGTAATACGTATAAATGAATTTGTATTAATTTCATGCGTACCATTAGCACACAATTAGCAATAGATTCGCACTAAATTCGCACCAAATTCTCACTTCATTAATGCATATTAATCATCACCAAATTTACACAAAATTCTCACATATTTGTTTGTGTTAATTTTGTGCATATTTGGTACAAGTAAACTTGTAGTGACAAATTATTGGTATGAATTTTGTACATGCGACTTGTACAAAATAATCACAAGTCGGCTTCACATTTTCACGGAAAATATGCATTAATCCAGTTGTACAAATTTAGTACAATAGTTGCAGATTTTGGTTGCTTGGGTAGAAATACTCACCAACTAACTATTCTGCATTATTTACCTTTCCGATGAAGAACTCTCAAATAATAAACTTCAGACATGTCTGAACAATGAACACTCTGTACAATTTAATTTGTAATATATTTTTCATACATGGATATTACATGTGTTCTTATATTACACACTATAAAATTTTAGTACATGTCATTACGGAAACCAGAATCTGTAGAAAAAATACCTTCCGCACTAACTTCGAATGAAATGCTGCGCATAGGTATGTAGCATGAGAACGGTACTTCTAGTCGCCGTACGGTGTCCTCTTGCTTTGTCATCACAATGCGGTTATTAACAAGAGTTCGCCAAGCCAAACCCAAGGAAGGTGCAAAATCCATCGTCTCGACAGTGCCCGTTGGCATTTCGTTAATGGCAGCTCCTACCTATCGACATTAATCGACAACAGCAGTTTTGATAATTATTAGGCTATACAAACTATAATTAATCAAAATGAAACAAATACCTGGTTTACGCAAACCAAAACTAGCTTGTGGTAGAACGCAAGATCATGTAGACTCCGTCCAATCACCCTCAAGTCGTTCACCTTTGAGATTGTGTCATTCTCGTATTCGGATCGAAATGTTGCAGCAATAGAGTCCACAATCAGTAGACCCACATTCCCCTCCTTAAGGACAGAGGGTAGTTCAGTTGTTACGCAATATAGCAGCATTTCCTGAAAAATAAAATTCATAATATGTATGAGTATAGATGTAAATAAAATACATACACAGCATGATTGTTCATTTACATAAGCTTACCGTGTCTACTATATTCTTTATCAAAATGTTATCCATTGGAATGTCGGGAAGATCGGGATGATGAGTTTTGAAATGTTGACAGAGTTGAGCAAGACGATGTGAAGGAAAGGGACCTTCCGTATTGATGTAGATGACACCTATTAAAAGTTTACAAGAGTGTGAGTGCGAGCGATATAAAAGGAGTGTAGTGCCGTAAAGACGATCATTGTATTGTAAAGACTTGCCAGAATTTAAGCCTCCGTGCTTCTCAGGAAGTTGAGCAGTAATTGATAGTTGAAGGGCCATTTGTGTTTTTCCCACAGCGCTTGGTCCGACAAATTCAGTTAGTCCTGATCGAAGGATGCCACCATTCAAAAAACCATCCATGTTCTTACAACCGGTAGTAAGAAATCGGTCTTTTAGGTCTAATGCAGTGCACTTCATCTGGATGAAGTCATCAAAGTCACCCGTAATATTTGGGCTGGTTTGAATACATAATCTCGGAAAATTAATGGCTCCTTCGTAATCTTGAGATGACGACATTTCTTGAAAACTAAACTCCTCCTCCTCCTCATCTTCGGGAAAGGTCGCTCCTGAAGGTCCCGCGAAGCATTCCGGTGGTACATCCAGTGCATTGTGCAGTCCTTCTCCGACCGGCATTTCTTATGTATATCTATAGCTTAGCTTAGAGGCTTCTATAGTGTAAACAAACAAAGTAAACGCTATCATTAGTTAAAGCATTCAAATTACAAATAAGCATTTTTGTTACTATCAAATTATTTACAATGCCATTACACGTGCGTACACCATTTCTGTCCTCTAATTTATCATCGTTTAAAAAAAGCCAAGCACCATTATCTAAATATTATGCAATTATGAATTTCAGACATCCGAGGGCAGTTTGATTAGACACGAACCATGTATTTATTACCTGATTTATTATAACAAATTGTGTGTATGACTATTTAAACCGATTACAAATCACCAGTAGGATTAAAAGACCAGGACATCTCAATCAATAAATTGCAAAAGTACAAATTTCGCATGTCATCATAAAGCTTCTTCTTCCAAAGAAACAATTGGAGTTAAATCTTCCAGCGACGATGAAGACGATAAGGAAGGACTAATCAACGATATTGATCTGACTGCTATATTGGACGGCATATCTGGAGAGGTAGTCTCGGTCGGAATTTCGTGTTTCACATAAGACGTGTAGACGTCGTAGCCCAGAGAAATAGTATTATCATACAGTACTCGGTACCGTAATGGAAGAAAGAAGAAGTTGATCATTTGCGCTAGATAAATAAACAAATATAAGTTGTTTAACTATATTCTAAATATAAATAAATTCAAATAATTTTTTTTAAGTGTGGTTAGATGCCCAGGTATGAAAATACAAAATATTTACCAGGCGGCCAGATCACCCATTCCGCTAGGTATAACATGATGCCCTATTCAAAATGTAAAAAAAATATTGTAAATGCAATGATTCCTACGGTGAGGATCGGGAAGCCCCCCGTTAAAGGATGTATGGAGCAGCAAAAGGAAAAGCGTCCCCGTTCGCCTGCTCTGGTAACACTCTTTGTGGTGGCTAACGTTTCCTAATGTGTAAAGTTTTTGGGGGGATAGCATTGTGGAGCGGGGTTGTATTTTTGTGGCAGTTTTGTCACATTTACCCAGGGTGGGAAAGGAGGTGCTATCCCCCATTCTAAAAAGGGCTCCACACCCCCAGTCGGCCTCCCTAGGCTGGGGGAAAAAGGTTGTAAATCAATAAAAAAAATGTCCATACTTTAGAACGCAACTCATCCCGAAATTCATCCGCAGAACTTTTCTCAACCACAGCCAAGGTCACAAAAAATGTACCAATTGTAATGGGTGAACAAATTATTTGGTCCAGTAACATCTGAGAAATACATTAAAAAATGAACGTACATATTATTGAACCTGATTAAATGTTGAAATTATTTTGGTAGTTTTCAACGACATAAAATTTTACGATTGTACCTTTTTTAGTGCAATGCTAAAGGTTCTACCGGGAAGAAATTTATCAAGCCAATTGTACCAAAAATGACACACGGTCCCAATAGTAACCCCCGCCGTACTCATGTTAAAAGTCCTTCGATAGTTGTATGCCCGTTCTGGATCCTTTATCTTTTCATAGTGTTGCTGAATACTGTCCCCTATGTAATAGTTACCACTTTCAATTTATCTCTTCTTAGTAGATAAACTTAGTTTCAATAATTAATTATGATAGACTTTGGTACCTGTCGCAGAAAGACCGGCAGATATCCCCAAATTAGTGAGGAGCAAATGTTTCTTAAACAAAAATTGCGTCCCTGTTCTCATTCTTGATACAAATGCACTTTGCACAAGACGATTAACGAGGGTGGCTGTGGCTGACATCGTAATGCAGTATTGGAAATGTTTGAAATGGTGAAGACGATAAGTAGATAGGTGCACTGTGTGTAACAACGTAACTCTCAATGAGATTATGATTTCATGCAAAATCGGTCTAGTTTTGAAACAGATTTAATTAAGAGTATGAAAAAAATCCTATCATAAGTCTTGCTACCCAAAACGTATCAACGTATGACAAAAGGACACATATTCGAATTAAGTAGAGGTTTTCTTATCCAACCAAAGTCAGATCATTTTCCTACTCTCCAGCCAACTATTAAGTAGAGGAGGTGTGAGGATGACAGTACCCGATTTTGACACCCTTTTGATATGTTTAAGAAACCAATGAATCTACTAAAGTCCGCATCAATGTTTAAAATAGAATTTTGGATATGATAAAACAACTAATTCTAGGATCAGTAAATTTCGAAAATTCTCAAAATCGGATGAAAATTTGATTTTTGGCAAAGATTAGAATGCGACGCTTTATTGACTGTAATGCTCCTGAGGGGGTGTGGCGGCCGCAAATGGGGCCATAGAGTAAAACCCTCCTGTACGTATCGTTCACTTACCTAGTTCTACCTATAGTACAACATATTTAAAGGCCAGGCCAGGCCATCAAAATCGGGTACTGTTGACTGTCAACCTTACAACCTCTCATCCTAAGTATATTTTATATTTTATCAATGTGTTTGTACAAATTTGTCGACTTGTTCTGATAAAATGTCATGTAGAATTATACTGTGTCCTCACCTATTCACTAAAATCCAAATCGACGTGATTTTGACAAGACGACAATTTCAAATTTGAACCGTCCTTCTTTATGCAGTCTTGAGTGTTCGGGAAGGAATGTGGATTGTTAATTGTCTGATTCTGAGTAATGTAATGTTATATTAATCCGGATCTAAAATTGAAGTGTAAACATATCGCGAATAAATAAATCGCAAGAAATTGTATACAATGTTGATGACAAAGACTTATAATTTTACCCTTTTGTGTTTCAATTTAATAGATTTCTGATACAATTGATATTTCTTATTGTTAGTGCTGCCTAAATAATTTTGGAACTTTGAGCACATCAGAATTACTTTTAGATTTTGCACTAACTATTTATGAACATGAGCTACAAAATTTCTAGTACTACCAACCGGACCTGGAATTCTCATGTGCTCAGCTTGAATCTTTGAACGCCGCACCCTGGACATGGGCATCTTGCCACATTCTGCCATGGGTTATGTTATGCACAGATAGCTGAAAAAAATTTCAGTTGGTTTGTGCAGAAATTGAAATGAGAATCAGTTAGTATCAAATCCATGCAAATTCATACAAAATAGTGCAGGCCAATTGTGTTAGATTGCCGTGCTATATTAATAGATTCTTTATTCATAAGCAATAATAATAATTATATTTATATAATTTTCGCATTTTGCATAAAGACCTATCTATATCTAGGATGATTACAACTTTTAAAATTAATCTACAGTATTCATGACATGTGCTGTTAGTTATGGATTAATCGAACAACGAATAGATTGATCAAACTTGGGAACGTATTCATTGGACACACAAATTCACGAATCTCCTTCTTCCTAGGCATTTCATATGTACACACATTCATTTCATATGTATTTGTTCCGCTTCCAGTAGTAGCAGACTAATCAGATTATCAGATTCCTTATTACCGTTGTCCTCAGGAAGTTTCGAACACAAAGAAGCACGAGGGCTTGACTCTTAGTATCCAGGTAACGCTTCTCCCGTGACAAAGTGAGCGATAAAGTGTCAAATAATCTTGATAATGAAGAGTCAAAAATGGATATCAAATAACAAACACGAAAGTTTCATAGTTTTCAGACTCGGTAAAATAAATTTATGGTGAACAACTAGCAATCAAGAATTTAAGGTATGTATGCATATGAATTGGATGTGACTTTGGTGCATAATTGGTATTTCATTTATCTTGGAAAGGTCAGTTGCGTCATTAAAAAGTCAAGATGCCGTCCAAGAAGGGAGGCAAGAAGAAGAAGCCTCTGACGGAGGAGGAGAAAGTGAAGCAGGCAGAAATGAAGGCGTTGGCTGAAAAGGAGAAACTCGTGCGGAGGCGACGACTGACCAATGTGTTTCTCAAGGTGTAGCACTATCATCCTAATTGATGATCTAAATTATATAAATTATTGTCATAATCATAAACAATTCGTCGTAATATCCTGCTTGGCTCCCCTTTCAATAGCTCAAAAAAGACAAGGAGTACGAACTTCTCAAACTAAATGACAACAAGCTTCTCGACTTGTGGCGTCCTAGGCTTCGCAAACTCAAATGCAACGAATTATTGGACGATTATAAAGTTAGTCGACACTTTTGCAAACAAATTGATATAATTTCGAGATAAATTAAGTTATAATACTTATACTTTCGTCAGATGCTTCAAGCTGCATTTGAGAGAAATTACAGAAAAAAGGATGAACTTATTGAAGATCTTGAAAATGTTATGAGACAAAATGACGAGGAATATGATAACGCATTTGACATGCACTTACACAACATTGACAAACTCATGGGTCAGTTTTATTATTTGAGACCTTTCAAAGACTACCATGCATACATACATATGTAATTGCAGGGCTGTGATTAATACATAAAATAACTTTCAGAATTTTACCACAAGCGTCTCGACCAGGTACGCGAAATGTATGGACAACAGAAACAGAAGCTGCTGACCGTGCTGAATGACGAAAAGTTTCGAATGCAAAACTACCAAGAGAAAAGTCTCCGGTATTTGAATGGCGTGATTGCGGCGGTACACATGCGATACAGAGAACTTGCTTCAGACTCCAAAGCCGAGCTCTTTATACGGCAAGAAGAAATGAGAAATAAGGTAAAATTTCATGAAACTGGTTATTGTTTTAAATTGAGGTAAAACATTGAGCTGTACACAAATTTTGGTACGTAGGCTATGGAAGAGACTCATAAAGTAAAGGTGTCCACAGACAAAAGAATGCAAGCGGTTTGGGATGACATTCAAGAACTTTTGGTGGACTATGACGTGAGTGCAAAACTGTATACATAAAATTACCCAAGTTATGCATACAATACCACAAACTTTCTTGAATTAATGGAATATGGACATATACACATACATAACATTGGAAATTAATCATACGCGGGATGACATTTCATGATGTCCCTGAACTGCCAACCGGAACGAATCATGTCATGATGATGATCTTTGTGATCCGTGATCAATGTGTATTTTTCACATTTCTTTGCCAATTTGCAGACAAAGATAACTCCACTTCGCAATGAGTTCCTAGAGCTGCGTAAAAAAGACGACGTGGTCGTGGCCACTATTGACACTCAATTCAAGAAAATGTTCAAGCTTCAGGCAAGTAGTTTTAATTGGAAGCACAGCAAACAAGTTATGCAAGTGATGTACATATGTACTTACGTCGCGTATTCGGCATTTTTCATCAGGTGGGTATTGAAAATTTGGATGAAAAGGACAGAATCTATTGTGCAACACTACAAAGTCTCTTGGCGGATCTAAACACAAAACGAAATGGCTTGAAGGCCAAATATAAATTGCAACAGCAAAGATTTGACACAGTTGCTAAAACAGGCAGAGACAATATCCGCAGTTTGGCTCTAGTTTCTGGAACAATGTTGGAAGTTAGTCGAGCATTCATGTGTATATATTGTTTGTGTATTCAAAATTAAACAAGCTAAATAGCGCACATTGCGATATGTAGAGTTTGGATGGGATGCTGACACAGCGTGAACGTCTCATGAAATGTATTGAGCGGTGCAGAAAACGCGAACGTCTGGACGAGAAAGTTGACCCGTTTATGCGACGATGGGGTTTGCAAGAGTTGGCGATGATGGGTCAAGGGGACGAATCAGAGGAAACGGGATCGGTTTTTGCTGGAGTTGCATCATCAACAGAATTTGGCGAAGGCTTCAACTTTACCCCCAAAAAAATGGAACATTTAATTACGTGTGACTGCAATCCTTGCACCTGCGCCATGAACGAGGACGTTATAAGTGAACCCATGTTCTCAACAATTAAAGTGAGACAAAAATCATAATCAGACTTTCTAATTTTATTCAAATAACCCAACTAATTCCATGATTTGCATAGTCTGTTCAAGACTTTGCTTTGCTGGAACGATTTTGGACACGATTTAATCGTGCGTCCCTCGAAGTGAGAGTATTGCGCCGGAGGAGAACTTCTATGCTTCATGATAATCAGCAGCTGAAATTGGCACTTCGAAATTACATGGGTGGTCTGAATCCTCTACAACATAGCGTTCAAACCTATTCCGATGAACTTATGGTAATTCCTTCCTCTCCCAATCCTTTGTCCCCCAGTTCATTCGTTCTAGCCTCGTCAGACTCTGACTATGCTAGTGACGAGTCGGCTGCTCATCCACAATTCCCAACAACTCCCAAATTACACCTTCCCTCAATCCTTAAAGACACTAAATTTTCAAGTGAAAGTCAAAAGGGAGTGAGATTCCCTAAACAAGCAAGTGCTTCTTCAGGGTTTCAGGGCAGAAATATTGGTGAAAAAGGGAAATTCTCTGTCCCAATTATTGATGGAACTCAAGTTATTAGAATGTTAGATAGATTTAAGAAATTCTAAGGAAAAATGAATTCAAAATTAGTACTTTTGAATTTAGGAATTTTTGATTGTAAGATATATACATAATTTGACTTTCCCATTATTTATATGCGTGTAGGCAATTGCTAAACGAAACTACGACATCGTTGTTCGCGCAATGGTCCGAGAATGGAAACGGAAAGATCGTTGCCGTAAAATTGGTGGTCTCCGAGTTCACTGAATGCTTCAGGTGTATATGAAATCTGTTAACTATAATTTTGACAACTACATATGTATGTAAATATGTATACAATTGTATGACATTTACTGAATAAATTTTCAGCTTCCTTGCCACAATTAAGTTGCATAATTATTTTGCACTCATTGCTTCATTTCGAGTCAAGATCAGTCATCAGTAAACAGACCTATGCAAGGTTCATAGGTTGATTTTTATTTCAATTTTTATCTCAAAGTTCCTACAGGAGCATAATTATTTATTCCAGACGCGAGGGAGAAATCAGGTCTCCTGAGGCTCAAAGGGTTGACGCCTACGTATGTCGATTATGGAGTCTGTAATACGTATAGACTTGAACAGCGTGAGAATCATGATGCGAAAATGTAGCAAGGATCCAATAAATGAGCAGAAAAGAAATCCCTTCCCCTGACTATTTTGCAGGCTAACTGAGCAGCCAGCAGACTGCTTCACCTTCACCAAACCAATTTCGTTGGACTGCACTCGCCCATCGCGTCTCAGTTGAATCTGTGTTCTCGACTCAATAACTTTCTTCGCATCCTCCTCTCTGTCCATAAAAAAAGCAACAGTTTCCTCCATTTCCTTCGTCATTTCTCTCCCCCGTTGGCTCAGGATCCGTCGAACCTCTCCTAGATCCGTCTCTTTGCGACCTCGTTTCCGACGTCCACACCCTTCAAACTGCACTCGTAATTGGAAAACCACAGGTGAGACAACCCATTTATCCGTGTCACGTTGTGCTTTGTGCAGCTTAAGTCTCATTTTTTACCACCACTGAACTCGTGTGGTAGTTCTGCTGGTGATGTCCAGAAAAAGGGCCCATCCTTTCTTTTCGTGCTTCGTATGTTGTAAATACTATAGAATGCAGCTTAACGACATATCTAATAAGTAGTTCCGTATGCTTGTACCATGGAGTGGATGACGATTTTTTTTGGTTGCTTATATTGTAACCCATGCTTAAAAAATTCCAGAAATCGGATGAGTCACAACGCAAAGGGCACGCTTGATTCAGATAATGAAAATTCCCAACACTTTTGTTTTTATTTTGTTTTAGTTGATTCACTACTTTGTGCAAACGATTAGCGTAAGGACGACATGACCAAGGTAATTTCAGAACTACAACTGCGTATCCCAACAAACCATATTCACATTTATCGTATCACATCAATTACTTAAAATTCAAACTTCTTGCTTTGAGAAATTTTACATAGTAATTTCAACTCTGAATTTTATTTTGCAATTAAAGTATCTCAGTTAACAGAAGTACATTCGTTTCTTTTTAGACGCTTTAATTGTCATTTGACCTGTTTGTTTCGCCGATGATGATTAAACAGTTCCTTTACATAATTAATGTACAACTAACTACATGTTAATTTGTGCTGCTCATTTAGGGTCAATAATTCCTACTTGTGCTATAATGTCAACTTGTGAAGCGTCTGAAGTAACAAACTCAAACGGTCACGGTAAGAAGCCAAGTCCAATTACTGTCGATCCCATTTCCCTTAAGAAACAAAGGTCTGCTGCGGCTGGTGGTAAAATGCGAGACTTTGTGATTAATGGACACAATGGGTCAACCGAGTCGGAGTCGCCCAAGACGCCCAAGACACCACGGACCTCAACCACTCCAGGTAAACCTACCTTATGCATATTATTTATCTGCATATTTCATGATTAAATACGTCTCTTCTCAAATTTCTTGTAAGATCAGGTGACAATAGTCGTTTTATGGTCACAGTGCTTGCATACAAATTCGTACATATGAGATATGTATCCGTAGCACGAGGTATTCCTGCAAAGCATCACGTATTACATATGCACAAAAACTTGTCATGGTCAACTCCACACCTTCAATGACCGACAGCACCTCTGCAGTTGCTCGTCATTGACTTTGGCAATTTTTCCATACGAGTTTAATATTCCCATCCTCCAACTGTAATATTCTTACCTAGTTTATCATATGCAATGATATGCAAACATATGTGGTCACATTCTAGTGACATTGAGTTACACGATATCACTCGACGACGATGGTGTAGTCTTCACACGACCTACCAACAAAGCAAACCTTAATTAGCAATGACCAAGCTTCTGTCCTCAGATCTGATTATTTCTTCAAGTACAACACTTGAGTCTCAATTTTATCGTATGTCTCTAGGTTCGAATACGTAATTTATTCTTTTTCTAAGTACCTACAACTTGTTATACCCTCAAATTATGCTTACAAAATATGTATTTAACACAAAGTAAATGAATTGAATAAGAGCAGAGCATATCATGATGTGCAGTAGGCTTTGACGTAAACCTTATGATGAGAAGACCTGTCCAATTCTAGTTCTACTTGGAAAACCATTCGCTCACAATTACAAATGACTCAATATTTATAGCACAGCATGCAAGTACTGACACATGCATAGTCAGTAAACCACTTTCGTCTAGTTGATTTTCTAAATAATTTTACGATCATTTCAAAAAAATGCCAGTAAATAAGGGTTGTGAATGACGAATATTCAATTCTATGTATAGAATCACGTGATGTGATCTATATTCAACGTCAATGCTTAAACAACTAAAGTTATTAATCAGTTTTTTACAACTGATTAAAAGTGTTTGCTCTGTAATGCACATTTTGAGCGTAATTATCAAAATATCCAAATTTATTAAAAATGCTGGACCACCAAAACTTTAAAGAGACTTATTTTTTTCAGGTCATGAGAATTGCAGGTAATTATAAATAACATGCAAATATGAATTACGTAAATATGTATGCCTCTCAACTGCAGGAAACTAGAAACACTGAAGTGAAGGATAATGGAAAACTATTTATTCACTAATTGCATTTGCAGCTTTCACCATGACATGGAACTGGACCATAAACCACCAACTCGAGAAGACTTGATTCCAAACATGTCCAGCGCCTATAAGGAGTTAATTGCGAGTCTTGGAGAGGATCCTGAGCGACAAGGGCTGCTGAAGACACCAGAGAGGGCAGCGAAAGGTATATTTATTCAATCTCATGCACATAAATCTGACACATTTCTAGAAATACTGGTTGACAACTGCATATTGTTTTATGTCTTTCACAGCCATGCTCTTCTTTACGAAGGGATATGACCAAACTATTGAAGGTAAGCTACACCACGTTTTTGAACAGTTTTTTGAAATCGTATTTACAATGATTGAAGGTAGAGGAGAGATTGACTATAAATTCTGAGCTTTATGGCAAAAGGAAATAGGGCCAGATAAGGCCGCCGTAGGGAGAGAGTTCAATACGAAAAACTATGATGTGTGGGCGTCTCCAGGCGAGTTGTAACAAACTGATGTTTGCAAACGGAAATTAAAGTTCAGTACAGCAAATAGACATTGACCTTTAGGGATTTAAAAATGTTAGAAGAGAAAAATGATCTCACTTAAATATTTATTTAGTCAAGGGTATTAAATTACCCCCTTTCTTTCTAAAAGGTAACCACATTATTCCTTTGTAGTTTTTGGGTAACGTAACCCACAAAGTATGCATGTAAATCCTTCAAAGATACACATGTACACGGACTTGTGGTCAACAATAGCAAGCGTCGTTACCTAACTGTATATTGTTTCTCGAGATAAAACATATTGTAACGTACTGCTTATCTTCAAGGTTTCAGATTTCTTTGCGTCTATAGTTTTAATCACAGGCTTTCACAAGCTTTCTTTGCAGAAAGTAGATGAAAACAACACTTTAGTGAAACCTAGAGCGCTCGCTCCGCTATTGGTCCGTACAAAATTGCAATTCCTCTAGAAAATCAATAAGTCCTTGATGAATTGCAAATTTAGCATTTTTTATCCTCATCCGAATGACGTAGGCTTGTCCTGGACAACACGTCCAGGAGTACGGTACATTTGTACCTTTCTCCGCTTCGTATGGAGACTTGTTGAATATTTGGACTCATTCAACTTGGAGGTTCTCAATCTAGATGCATGCTTCTGTCCCACAATAAAGAGAGGGGTGGATGGATCGTAGACTAGTGAGAATTGTGATTTTGGTCGAAAATTCTCGCAAATGTTGCGCAGAACTAATAGACTTTCGTCAGCGTAAGGCATAAGAGAAAAGCAGATTCCAAAGATTCTGTTGAAACAGCCATATTTCTCCGCTTTCTCCGAAATAAAGCAATTCCACTCAACTACTTGCTCTTGCTCTCTACTTATTAAAGTAATGACGTTCCTCGTATTTTATATGGAGAGCCACACAGCCACGCTCTCTGCTCTACTCATTCTCATCCTGTAGCTCTTGGAATATAGCTTGTCTGAAATTGTGACTCATTATGATTTTCACATGATAACATTTGAAATATTTTCGGACAAGATCCCAATGTATCTGCTTTATAACTTTACGAGCAAAATCTACTATTTGTTGGAATTGTACTTCTATAACGAAACCCACTAACTATTATGAATATGATCTTTTGTAAAATCGCTACTGATGTAAATATATGCATGTACGAATTAATGAACATGACTGGGTTAACAAGATCGTGTAAACGACGACTTTTCGGGTTCTATGCACGTAGAACAATGTAGTCACTGAATACCATCTTGTGTGTCGCACACGATAAAAGCATTTAGTTTTTTATGACCTATATACAGATCTTCTTTACGAGAATATTATATCCCTTCAAGAATCTGAGAGGAAAAAGGCTACATTTTGGGAAGTGAATTCTCTATCGCTCAGAGTTTCTGTGCTCGAGAGAGCCCACCATCAACCAACCAAAAGGGCATTTATTCCTGTCTAGTGATGCTGTTACTTTACTACCCAAAGCTCCGTGATTCTTATTCTGTTCTTTCTCCTTTCTCTCCTGCGCTGTTCTTGCCCAGGCTGCTGCAAGGTGCACACGCCTACATCGTGTACAACAGGACAAAGGAAAGATAAACCTGCAGACGGGATGAAAGTTGAGAATGTTGGAAGTGTGTCACTCCGACTAAATCCAGGCGATCTAATGGACTTTTCTTGTTCGATACCCTTGTCTGGCATTATATTGACCGTCCTCTGCACACTTATATTCACTACAATCGCCTCATTTCTTTTTTAATCTGTCATCACAAAGTGTTAAACTGAGATATGCTCACTTGACCTTTGAATCGTGTTCAGAGGGTTTTAAATTGTCAAAATAAGCTGAAATAATGCTTTAAGAAGATGGAGTGGGTGTACTTGAATGATTTATGTGGAGATCCTATACAAAGCAATAAGTAGTTTCACACATACAAGAATTGGAGACGTGCTAAACTTTTGGTTTTTGTAACACGATCGCCTGTAATTCAATTTTGTGTTTCAGAGGTGCTGAATGATGCTGTTTTTGATGAGGACACAGATGAGATGGTCATTGTGAAAGATATCGAGATGTTCTCAATGGTAGGTTCGATTAAAAACGCTATTCTGGATCTCATTTAACTCTTTAATTACTTCCCATCTTGAATTTTCATTTTATTTGCATTAACGTATCTATCGTTAATGTTATTAGTGCGAACATCATCTTGTCCCGTTCTACGGAAAGGTATCGATTGGATACTTGCCGAACAGAAAGGTTTTGGGGCTTAGCAAACTTGCTCGTAAGTAAAATTATTCGTTTATTCGTTCATGCAGGCAACAAGTAAATACGTTTAGAATTCGTGAAAGTAGGTTTGAGAAAGTAATCAGTCTGCAATGGATTATTTTTGATTTCAGGAATCGTGGAAGTTTTCAGCAGACGGCTTCAAGGTAAATACACATCTTTTGTACAACAAGGAGGCCCAACTCCTCCCTCTGTTTACACTGCCCACTTTATTTTCCGAGGAGCAAAGTAACCACAAAGACGAGGAACATTGTATGCTTAATTTTATTTCAGTTCAAGAGAGGTTGACAAAGCAAATTGCGGAAGCTGTGCTGAAAGCAATTGAACCACGAGGCGTTGCCGTTGTCTGCGAAGGAGTGTAAGTTTTCGTCCATGACTATAATCCATACAAGAAAAATAACATGCAATTTGTGAATAAATTTGAAATAGCTAAATGCAATCTTTTTCTCATCAGGCACATGTGCATGGTCATGCGAGGCGTGCAGAAGATCAACAGCAAGACCGTCACCAGCTCTATGCTTGGAGAATTTCGTGAAAATTCAAAGACGAGAGAAGAGTTCTTATCGTTCTGCAGTGGACACAAGTAAAAATAATGAAAACAAAATGAAACTTTTGGGACCAATTCCAATATCACTACCTGATGACAATTATACATAGTGTACACTATGTGGACATTCTCGTAGACATTTGAGATTTATTTGTAGTTCATTTCATGTAACATTTGCATCGATTAATTTTACATTGATTAAAAGAATGCAGGAGAAAGTTTTTAATAATTAATTAAAAATTATCTAATTAATGCCAAATGTTGGAGAGTAAAGTAAAGTTTGATGTGCATAGATATGGCCGACACGATATTCCGTTTGAAGATGACGAACCGAATACGTGCACTAAATAATAATTAATTAATATTACAAAGTTAAAGAGGAGTTGAATTTGGGTATTAATAATGCTCGAAGAAATTGAGTGATGATGCAGGCGTGATATGTTAATGAAGGGACCAATGTAAGTAAAGAAACTTTACTAGAATGTAATTTTAGTCTCATGTACATACATACGTAAATATCCCCACACTGTATAATGTTGAAAATTAATGAAAATTTAGCCATGTATTTTTGGTGAAATTTCCCAAGTCTTTATTTTAACATATTGACCAAGATTTCTGCACTTGGGGTTACTTTGGATTAAGTTGACGCTAATGCAAATATTAATTCACGCGTAGTAGTGAAATTAACCCCACGCAACCAAGTGCAAGAACCTTTAAAAAATGCTTGGGTAGTAATCGTAATGGTTAAATTTTTCAAAAGGATTGGAGTTTTAAATAAGGAATGAAACGTAAACGATTGCACAGATTCAAGGATAGTTAACCAAGCTTTGGAATAATTAGCTAATTAGAATAGCGTTAATATTGAGGAAAAAGTTAATGATACGAAACCTGAACTTCTGTACCTCGTGTGAATGTGAATGTGTGTCACTTCATTAAAGCTAGACAAGAAACTCATAATCAATTTTATTTATTTTTTAGCACATTACGAAATGTTTTTTAAAAATATTTTCAGCTCGCAATTCGAGCCTCGAATTAGATTATGCATTCAATAAATTTGAATTGTGCCAGCAAGCATTCTGGAGCTTTGTATTTTATGAAATATATATTTGTCCAAAATATTAGGAGAGCCCAATAAGCAAGTCCGACTAAATACATATAAATGCACATATGTACTTACGTATTAACTACTAATTGTAAGTAAGCGAAACGAAGTTGTTGCACTAATTGAGCTGCAATGAGTAGTTAAGAAATTGACTGTAGTAAAAAGAAGGGACCAAGAGGATGTAAGTGTAGTATCCTAGTTGCAATTAGTCGGCTTGAAACATGGTAAAAAATGTATAAAAATTTTAGTGGCGTAGAAAATAAATACATGCATTATTCCCGTATAAACGTCTACATAAATACATAAATACATTCCATCACAATCCGCCACATTCCGAAACTTATTATTATTTACATACATCGGTTGTTCTTACCAATAAACGCTTTCATTGCAAAACTACATAAATATTAGTACATATTTATTTTGTCTATCATTTTAGACTTAATCATCATTCGAATTTTCTTCTAACAAGGGACACTCACGACCTGTCGTTTGAGTCCAGGGTACCCACTATGTTTTTTAGAATCTACTAGGACCCCTGATGAAGGATTCCTTCATATTTCCGTGTAAAACTCATATTTGGCGACGTGGCGTGGCGCCAAATTCGCCAAAATTGAATGTTTTTATTTTTGAAACCGCCATAACTTTTGAAATCCTGGACGGATTTTCAAAATTTTTGGCAGAAATCATGACAAAGAGTTCAACTTTCTTATTCCATGAAATTTTTTCTAAAATTATCGCTTTTAACTTTTCGCAAAATTTCGTAATTTTCTTCGAAATGGGGGTTCGTCGAAAAAATCCTAAAAATATTGCAAAAATTAGAAATTTTTTTTTTTTATTTTTTTTTGTCAAAAATTTCGACTTTTGTGATCATTTTAAGCATAAAATTTTGAAAATCCGACATAAAATGCAAAAGTTATGGGGGTTTGAAGTTGGTCGAAAATGCAAATTTTTAAGTTTGGCGCCACGCCATGGCGCCAAATATGAATTTTACACGGAAATATGAATGGATCCTTCATCTGGGGTCCTAGTAGATTCTAAAAAACATAGTGGGTACTCTGGACTCAAACGACAGGTCGTGAGTGTCCCTTGTAAGCTTATGAAACTCGCCGTCAGTGTTACGATAAATTATTATTACGGCGAACCCAACGGAAATTGTGTTCACATCTGCGGCTGTGTTAATTAAATACGAATCAAGTTCGAAGAATGGTTTAGTGGGGGAGGACCTGTAAAGGCTGACATCAGATCAGTCAATTTATTGACAATGTAAATGTTTGTCAAAGGGACCCAGAAGAGTGATTTACACTGGTTTCAAATTAGTCAGATAAAGTTGCGTAGGATGAATACACGGGAAAATTGACACATAATAAATACATCACTTAATAAATATATCAGTAAAATTCATGTCAGTAATGTCAGTAAGTATTGGCTAGGAAGAAGAAAGCGAGGAAATAAATACATGGCTCATAAAGGTTACAGGATTAATGTAACATTGCCGGTTCCAATGTAACAATATCTTTGCTAATAAGTCATGATCAGTGGACGTAACTCTTAATAACAGCAATTCTTGTGTGCACTTCTTTCCTTAATTCGTTATATTAATTTCCATGCGTCACTTCTTTATTACACAACAAGCAAACGTTGTCTCATTCATGCCTCATCGCCTCCAATTCAGCCAATATTCATAAGCAAGCGTTTGTTTGTGTTAACGGGATATCGCAAACCAAGTCTGAAGACAAGTAACCTCCTCGCAACCCTTCGTTCTGCGCTGCCTATTTAGAAGCCAGTGGAAAGTACCATGTGCTGGCTGGAGCTTTTGGAGAGCAAAATCTGCCTGCTCCTCCGCTTTCGAGTCTCAGTTGTATGCGTGAGTTGTGTTGAATCGGATGTGTGTGTGACCGTATTTTCCTTCCCTTTCCCTCGCACACCGGCTCCTCCAGTTCAGTTCCTTATTTCGTGTGGGTGGACTCGTAGTTTAGACAATCTCTCCTTTCCCTTCTTCCGACTTTTATTCCCCCCTTCACCGCACTGCCTGCCTGCCTGCATTCCTCGCAAATACATTTTAAGAGCAACCCTTTGACTGTGCCGCTGCCTTAAGAGTAACGTAAACGTAGGATAGCTTCAAAATTAAGCTACTTGAGATATATGCATATCCAAAGTAAATAGGTTTCAAATAACTTTAGCAAAGTATCAAATAATGGTGAGGAACTACTTCAGCTCTCTCTGCCCCTCTTACGTCAATTCCTCTTTATACTTTCGTATGTAGACAAAAAGAAAGAACACGCCGGTGAATATTTACTTATTTGGTGATATTTGTTGTTGTTCAAGAGATAAACTTTTAAGTGACTGCCTTGGGACAAATGATGGATACTGAGTGAGTGAAGAAAAGAAAGGTAGCAACAAATGGTGAAAGCAGACTTGGTATCTTAGATTGTAGAAAAGAGAAAGTGAAGAAAGCTGTGAAAATGCGGTGTCCGAGAATTGGTCGTAGTATGGGTTCGTCGATGATTCTTCTCTCCTGGATCATATTACTGGGTAAGTGGCTTAATTATAAAGTGAGAAAGGTCTTGATTCTTATCGTGTTAAGTTTGTGTTATCAATTGTGTCAAGTTAGTTGACAATCTTGACTTTGATTAGTTTGGATAGTGCCATGTGCATGACTGTGATTGTTGAATCTAAAGCTCACCGAGTTCTGATTGCATATGAGATACATACATGAGACGACTTGGTCCCATGTATAATTTGCTGCTGCTGACTGTGTGTGAGACGGTATGAGACGGAGTACATAAGCTTAATCGAATTGTGTAACGGAAGCAATTGCGAATATTCCACACTCGCTCCTTAACTGTGACGAACAATTACTTCTACATGCAACTAGACAAAGACCGAGCTTGCCTGTAATATGGACCAGTGTAATTGTTTACACTGAGTCTCTGGTAGTAAGCTCTTTGACTTGTTGGGTAGGGTTAAAACTCGATCGGTTTTAATTTTCTTATCTTGACAGGTGTTAAACAGAACCTGACAGAGCAGACACTGATTACAGTGGTTACCAAAAAGTGTAAATAGCAGATTTACTTGACTTTATCACCCGCAGTTTAGTTCATTCCAGTTACAAAATGCTACACATTCGTTCCGGCAACAACTTGCTGCTATTGATGTTTCTGCTGATACCCGTCAATTGAAACTGCGTGATTATTATTTCCTCCAGAGATACAAAACAGTGCGTCAAGGCACACACAAGTTTGAAATTAAATTAAACACAACAAAGTCAACAAGCCTTGATTTGCTTTTGCACGTCGTAACCTTTGACTTGCCTGCTTGTTGCAATGACACGACGGCATTCAATAAAATGGAGCAGGTCAAAGTAAATATGTATTTAGATCTTTGCACAACAATAAGGTTGGGTTGTTACAAGCAAATAAGTCGGAGACCTTACGCTGCCATTCATGAGGGAGAAAGTTTCTGAGGCATGAGAAGGTCTGACACGCAAGTAAATGGAATCATGTGTAATCCTTTGTGTGCCGTGTTTGTGGGAATGTGCGACGAGTGATGGAATACGAGGGACAAAGTTTTAGCTTTTCTTCTAGAGCATAAAGTTGGCTACGAAAGTTTCCTCCACACTTTTCATCAGGGAAGAAAGTAGTCTCATCTCTCCTTCGATCCTGCTTCGTGTCCCAGCACCACCACCACCACAACCTCCTCCTCTATCAACACGAATAAGGGAGTCCCGAACCAAGGGCATCGATTTCCTCATAAACGACTCTTTCCTTCTCGATGAATATGATGGCCTCTGGAGTGGGTGGTGGGCCTGCGATGATACTCTCCTTACCAGTCGGGCGACTAAAACAGACCAGACCAGCTGCGAAATAGAGTTAGTTAGTTACTGAAGCGGTACGTGGGTCGTCTCTCTCCCTTGTGTTCCCATTACATTTGTTTATAAAGACCATATCATTGCATTGTCCTCCTCAGGGTCGGTCTGGGCAAAGTTATACCCCCGCACTCCTTCTCTTTTTGGGCTGCTGCTATTCCGTATACTGAGAAAGCTACGGCGGCGGGGGGAAAGCTGTTCCTATCTCCGATTCTCATCTCACTTCAGCTCAACTGCACGCCTATTGCCATCATCCGTTTATACAGAATGTTCCACTTCTGCTCTCACCCAACAAGGAAACCACGTCATACTGTGCCGAGCAGAAAGCAGGATAGTAAAGCAACCCAAGCGTGTTATCCAAACCCATCGTAAATGGGCAGAGGAGAGAGTACCCTCTCGATTTAGCTGGAATCTGTTGTTGCCTCTCCCCACCAAATGTCCTCCATTTCCTTGTTGGGAAAGCAGGCAGGTTATGCTGAGCCAGCAACCCTGCTACTAAACACCCTCATCGTCCCTGCATGTTGTTCTGCATGAGGTTGTCATTTATAAATGTCCGACTGACAAAAATTTACCCAGTCTCATTCCCCAGATTTCCTTATGGTGGGTCATGAGTTGGGATGGGTGGGGGTGCGTGGTGTAGGTTTCATGGATTTCAAACAATGGTTTGTTAGAGAGTATTATGTAGTCCTTCCTGTTGCGAAATAAACAGCCGCACAAAATTAACTCAACTTTAAGAACAAAAGGGTTCGCGATAGAATTTCTCAACTCAATAACTTTACCAATGTTCAATTTCGCAATTGAACATAGTCGTCGCGCAGCCAGATTCCAAGTGAATGCCGTTGCCAGAACATAATGCATATGTAAAGAGCAGGATAATTTAATAGTTATTGCTGCAGACAGGGGATAATATAAATGGAATGCTTTCACTGAAACAGAAATTAATCCCGCTGTTTTACGACCGTGTGAGTCACACAGTAATAAAATTCTGAGGGAGTTAAACAACACAGCACACAACAGAGAAATTAAGAAGGCAGAGGCAAAGAAGTAGGGAGTCAGTCAGTCAGTCGACTGTTTTCATATTTGATTACCAAAAGAGAAAACTGAAATAAACGAAATAAATAAAACTACGGGGCTTTCATTCAACGGTTCCTTACTCTCTCCGCTCGTGGTGGAGTGAGACTCAATATTCGTCTGAGTTTCTATTTGTAACATGTATGTCCATACGCACAATAATATTTATAATGAACTACATACTATTGTAGATTTTTTTTTGTCAATAATCCATACTCCTCAAATAAAATATTAATATCTGTTGATTACCACCACTGTTTTCATAGGTTTAATATACTACTGCATGAAGGGGAGTTTTTTCATGCCAAAGCTCACTTTTTGAAATAAATTACTTCGTGGTATTGACTTTTTTGAAATACGGAATTGTTTGGAAAGGAACTTATGACAAGTGGACGCACAGTTGCACTTGACTTTTTGGGAAACTCGATTTCTGTTCAAATTTACAGAACCGACCACTTATGACTCGTCCCCCGAGTTTGTAGTTGGCATTGAAAGGTATTTTCTTTTGTTCACAATTGAATGGAGACTAATTTCACCATGTCCCGTGATTCCGTGTTCAAGTGCGTCCCATTACTCAACAGAACACATTTACTCGGTGTAAAGAGGTAGACCCGTCTTCCAATAGGTAATTAAGTTCAGATGATTTTATTTTTAGTTCTAAAGCCAATAAATCAATTGAAATTTTTTCCTATTTGTATATACCTAATTATATACATAAATATTTTATATAAATATTGCATTATATACATATGTTTTGCATGCATTGTATTGCATTCATATATTGCCATTGACTGGCATATCTTCTCTAGTAAAGGCTAATGAGTTCAGATAACCCACTCGACCAGAAGAGCCTTCGTTCGCCTTCTGTCATTGACGGATCCCTTGAGGATGATTCTCACAAGCTCTGCATCCGAACATACTTATTATGTGTAGAAGAAGTTAGGCGTGGGTGTATGTACATGTTAACAGCGGAATTTAACTCGACATGTCTGTTTTTCCCAAAGGTGTGTCAAGTGACTTGGTCTTGGGAGCGGATGACTTTTACTTTACCAGAATTGGAGACGGAGAAAGCATCACGAGCCGCGGCAGGAAAACCGTCGTGGACCAGGAGAGACGAGTCACTTTGGAATGCGCTGTGTCAGACGCACGGCAGATCGGGTTCAGATGGAGTATGAATGGGATTTCACTCCACAATTCTTCCCGTCGATATCAAATTGGATCCAATCTGTATTTCTCAAGAATTGAGCGAGACGAGGATGCTGGAGAATATAGCTGTGTGGCCACCAACTTCAGTTCCGGACACTCCAAAACCAGTGCTCCAATGTCCATGAGTGTCATTTGTAAGTCAATTTCTTCCATTGCTTATTCCCCATGTTTTTTTGCAAAAGAGAAGCCAACCTATGTGCTCATTTAAATAATTTTTGAATACGAAAGTGGTTTACAAAAAAAAACTGGAAATGTATGTCTTAGCAATTTCGGCTCTTCTGCCATCCCAAGATTTGCAGGCAAAGGCCTTTCATATGTATAAATAAGCTAGCAAATCAATCCGAATAAATTGAAAATCTAAATAGGCCGGAGAATCAATCAAGCTCGAGGGTATAAATAATCTCCTAAGCAGATGGATCTCGCTGCCTATAAATCCTCTGATTCCTCGACCAACATAGAATACAGCGCACTACGACTGCAAAATGAGATAGAGTACACAGAAATGATCTAATGTATCGTAATGGAATTGGCAAAATGCTAAATTCCAGCCAGCATGCCAAACTGATTCAATTTAGCTTCGAGGTTTCGGCTTATTACAGAGCCAGCGAAATTGTTCCACTCGTACAGATGTCTGTGCATCCAAGTAAACTGTACAATTCATAGAGTACAGAAAATCTATTCCAATTTTGCTGAATTTAATATGTATCCGTGTAAACTAGTACGGCGTCTAAATGATATTTTTTTAAATCTCAGCTTGAGAAAAGTTACAAATCCCAGTTACCACAAAAGGAGCGAAATTCTTCACTAAGAAAATGGACAATGAGCTCTCGAGTGCATATTCAGTACTCACGACGTAGCATTTACTCCTCTATTGAAGCAGAATGACAAGTTACACTAGTCTTATGAATATTTTATTAAGTTTACCCAGCCAGCGAAGCAACCTAAGTCGCATCACCATGTCATGCCGGACTCGTCGTATGTTTATGTATGACATTTTTATTTAGTTAAGCTCTCGTGTCCACCGGCTTTTATTGTTAGTGAAAGTGCACGAATATATTTTTCTAGCGGACAATACAATTTCTCCACCATAATCACACTGCATCATAAAATTGTAATGGAATTTTCTTTTCTTTCTCTTCTTGTCCATGCCCAGGATTGCGGCGTGTGTATGAAAACAGTATCGACATTCATCCTCGTAACATGTTGTAAAGCGTGAAAGTCGTTTTATTTATTTTTTTGTCACGATCCTTCCTAATTATCCACCAGGAGCCACGGTCTAATGATAACTGGACTTTTTATGACAGGTCGAGAAGATTAAAGCCATAATTCAACAGCCAACTGTCACACCCTCAATAATAGAATTGTGTTCTGCTTGCTCCTTCCTCGACGACGGCTTCCCTCGCGTTCATCTGCTTTCTCTCGCTCCGCTTTCTCCCTACGCTTTCTCGTTCGTGTATCATCATCATGTTTCCTTGTCCTGGATTTCTTTGTTTCTACGCCGCCGAACCATTTCTTTCCTCCGTTTCTTTTCGAGCACCAAGTCAAAGGTTGTGCTAATGCTCGCAGTTGAGAAATTGTACTGATTTTCCAAATGTTTTCTCCTGAGTTTGATTTATGTTCCTTTGGAAAGTAGTTCCAATCCGGATTGTTATTAATAGTTCTCGTGAGCTCACGAATTCCGATGAAGTTGATTGGTAACTCCTTCATAATGCAAAACTTGCACATAATGTACGAATTTTACGTAGTGAATATTTATAGCGCGAAATCGCGTGATAACCTGCAATTAAAAATATTTACCCATCATAACTGACGTAGCTATGAAAGTGGGACACATTATGGTATTTGCGTCATGGTTGAAAACTTGACTGGAAAGATTAATGTGGCACAGCAGGTAACAAACAAGTGGTTTTAGGACTATATGTGCCGCCCAATAATTAATAACAAAATGAATTTATACATTTGACTGGAATGATGATTATATAGCTAACCACAAATTAGCTAGATACCCCATATATGTACGCTATATACGTATATTTGTATGTAGACTATAGAGTTGCAACTATTAATTTGAATGTATCATGTATCATCCAGCATTTAATATGTACATTATACAAACATATTTATGTAATAATTGGATATATAGTATATTCCTTCTATAAAGTTTATAAGCATGAAGTCCACCCTAAACCACATAAAATGACCTGACGCTGTGAGTCGTTATCAATAAAGCTATAAATATTATATGCATATTATGTATTTCTTAATTCTTCGCAGTTCTATTTCTGGTTAAAATGTAGGTACATATATATTTATGGCTACTGAATACCTCACGGTAACCCTTCAGGGTTATTTACTCCTGAAAGAGTTACACGACTCCATATAAATATCTATGCATAACGTGTAAACTAATTAGCCAACGTTTCGATTTCAAACATCAAGAGGACTTAAGTATCTTGCCGGTATTGTAGCGAAACATTTTGTTGGTATACATACATATGTTCCAGTTGTTAAAGCAGTTGCCAAGTTGTCCTGTTTACTGTGAACAACATGAAATGTGTCTTGTCCTAGTGAAAAATATTCCCAAATGACCGTTCTTTCGCTCGTACATAGGCATACCAGATACACAAATGTCCATGTATACACGTATAAATCCACATATGCTTAAATTCCTGATACGACTGTGATAGTAATTCTGTGATGTCCATACAATATATATTTATAAGTTTATTTGATACTCCTCGATTGCTTATGATGAGGCAAACCGCAGGGGATTGATTTACGTTATTTTCCTTGCTAATTGATTTTGTTCCCAATGGCGTCATGGCGTATGTATCTGTGCATTACATACTATACATATGAGAATATCCATCTGGACAAATGCGGACGTGGAGTGTCTGGTTTCATCAATTCAGTCAATTAGGGTCTGACTGCTGTGGGATGCAGCTTTGAAACACTCGCGGAGCTAGGAGGAATGGGCAAAAGGACGACTTCAACTTTCACGAAAGAGCGGAAAAGACAAGGGACGTATCTACAAATGCGAGATACTCCGGTTTCATGTGTTTCTTTTAATTTATTTTGTCGAGAAAGTGAAAAATGCTAGTTTGGTGAGTTGGTTGGAGAGCATGGCAAGTTGGCTCGTGTCGTAATTGAAGGAACGACTCCAAGTTAATGGAAAGCAAAAGTTCTCTTTGCTCTCTAGCTCTCTTTCTCTCTGGGTAATTGGTCAGGGGCCCATTTGGTCTGTTTCGACTAATGCGAACTATCGCTAGATCCTCCATAACCTCATCTGTCTTTTGTCTCTTTACTGCAACTCACTGCATTGCTCGACATCCATTTGCTGGCCTCCTCACGAACACGGCGATAATGGTCTTGGTTCCTTCGTTACAGTATTACAATTTTCAAAATGTCTTTGAACATTTGTCGTTTGGGATTGTTTTGAAAATAGAATATTTTGAAAGCTGAAAGTGGACAATCGAAATTTATGACACTTTTCCATAGTTTGTGTTTTCGTCCACGCCCACGCCCGTGATCATCCTTTTGCTCATGTCAAGGCCACAATCTTTGGATTTTTCCAGTCTATGTCGCAGTTTAAATTCCTATACGAGACGTCTGCCACGTTAATACTTCCATATATATTCCTGGCTGGCATTCTTTCAGGGGAATAACTCAGATTTTGCTCCATTCCCTAAAAGCTAAAAGCACTATAATGATGCTTTCATGGAGTTTAATAGCCAAGATTATAGCCAAAGCCTCGAAAATATTACGAAGGGGTTTCATGCATTAACGCCAGGGATGGATGAAAACTGCTTATCTTGATATGAAATTTCAGGGTAACGCATATGCGCTCATAAAGGGGTGGTGGTGGTGGTGGTGTTGATATGGATATTATTATGTGTATCGTTGCATTTATGATGTTATGGGATATATTTCATAAAATGTGGTTGGAGAATAGAAAAGGGGACCTGACTAGCTACATGTTTAGCTGCTTCTGCTCCTGGTTTGTCTCGACAGCCCTGACAAAGTTAATTTTGACAGCGGCAGTGCATGCAGTAGTGGTGCCACTGGTTTGGGTACTGAAACTGAGACGACGCCTGACACTAAACCATCAATACGACTATTACCACGTGCACCAGCTCGTTCCTGGAGTTTCCTTCTCCAACAGCTCATATTTATGTTTATGTCCTCGCCAGGTTCCCTACAAAGTTCCGCTTCAATTTCCAATTTGAAAGAAAGCAAACAATGCCACTGACAGAGTATGTACGCAGATTCATATGTACTGTGCGTGCGTGTGGTGGCAACGTCGTGGGGCTCACTACATGATGGGAAACAATTTATTAGCGCCCAACTATTGAACATCCCGTTGTGGCTTCAAATCTTAAAATTATTAACAAAATCGTTGTGAATATTGGGTTACCATGTTCAAATCGTATCTATTATTCTACACACATGAACACTATACGTACCTCTGCACATACACGGTGGCATTTTAGTTGACGAGGCGACGAACTTTTTGCTAAATGGATAATGGGGTGGGGTGCATCTGAAATGAGCAGAGCAAGTTGTCGGCTATAGTAGTGGCTTCTTCTGGTTTTGATCTTTTCTTCCATATTGAGCAAGTAAACGCATTCTCTCCAGAACCGTCGGTATGTTTTGGTATTGTGAAGGCAAAATAAACCAAAAGGTTCAACATTAAATACGGGTTGGCTCCTCGTAGCTCGTTTAGTTGGAGTTGCCTGTGTTTCTGTGTTTATAAAGAAAATATGAAAAATTGTCTTCAACACGTGAAACCCTGCTTGTAGAATATCTGCAACGCAGATGTCATCGATGAAGGAAATCAATCGTAATAAACCGTAGTAACGTTAGAAGTAGCTCACCCTGGTATAATTAGTTGGACATAATTTTGCATCAAAGCTTTGATGGTCCGGAATACTGAATTTCTTGGCCAAAACCTATTCTCACCGATCCGAAAACAAACTACCCTCTTTAGTACCTTTGACATAGATGTTCAATTTTGGAAAGTTTCAATTGAATTGTTCAAGTGGTTGTGGCGTGGCATATGCCCAAACTTGGCTTATAACATTGGGCTAAATGGGAAAAACTTCAAGTTGAAAATCCTGTCTAGTCCTGTGGTATT